GGCGCTGTCCGCGGTGCTGAAGGAGACCGCGGAGCCCGGGGAGACCTGCGCCTTCTCCTCCCATTCCAGCCCTCTCTTCCCAGCTCTCTCTGTCTCTGTGCTCACCTCTGCCTCTCCCCTGCACCCTCCTTCATGTCCATGACCACCCCACTCCAGGTTCATTAACGCCCGGAGACGCATCGTGCAACCAATGATAGATCAATCCAACCGCACAGGTACCAGGAGGAGGTGGGGAGAGAGGGCCCGGTGCTCCCCGAGGAGGGTCAAAGCCCAGACCCAGGCACCCTGGGGCTCAGGCTGCACCCCTAAACCCCTCCCGCAGGGCAGGGTGCAGCCTTCAGCCCAGAGGGCCAGCCCATGGGGGGCTACACAGAAACACAGCCACACATGACTGGCAGGCCACCAGGTAAGGCTCCGCCCCTTCACTAAGCCACACCTCCAGCACCAGGCCCCTCCTCTATTGAAGGTGCCGCACCTTCTGGGATTACGTTCATGAATAATGAAGACAGGGCCTCATTTGCATAACAGGGGGGCTGATTTCCGGGTGCCCACCTATGGGAAGGCTCCACTTTTCTTTAAATGACCAGCATGGTCTTAGACAATGGCTCAGTCTGTCCCGATGGAGGAATCCCCTGGGTCAGAAAGGGGCGAGAGGGACTGTGGTGCCTATGGGGTGCCTGGTGAGGACCCGCTAACCCTCTTTTGTCTTCCAGGATCTATGGGGATGAGTGTGAACTTGGAAGGAGAGTGGCATTACCTATAGAGGCAGGACTCAGGAGAAGTGTGAGTGTCCAATGTGAGGGCTGCTGGGCTGGGGGCTGTGCAGCGCTGTGAGGCCTGTGGACTCCAGTCATGGACCACCCAGAGCAGGGCAGCGTCGGTCCCTGAACAAAGGGTTCTCCAAGGCTTGGGGGAAGGTGATTCATCCATCCATCCATCCATCCATCTATACATACACGCATACACACATGTTCTGAAACGCTGCAAGTACAGTCTGCTCTTTTTTTTTTTAAATATATTTTTATTGATTTCAGATAGGAAGGGAGAAGGAAAGAGAGATAGAAACATCAATGATGAGAGAGAATCATTGATTGGCTGCCTCCTGCACGCCCTCCACTGGGGATCAAGCCCACAACTCCGGCATGTGCCCTTGACTGGAATCGAACCAAGGACCCTTCAGGCTCTATCCACTGAGCCAAACCAGCTAGGGCGGGTCTGCTCTTGAGAAAGATTCTGTGCTTGTTGAGGAAGTGGACATCAGAAACCAGTGCCACCGTTGAAACAATAAAACACAAGTTGACCAGAGGAGGAAGTCGTCTGCTGTCTCAGATATCAGGGAAGATTTCATGGGGGAAGTGGCTTCTGGGCAGGATATTGGAGCATGAATAGGAATCCCTGGGTAGAAGTTAGGGGCAAAGTAATAGGACACATTCTCCTATTCTCCCAGGTCTTAAGGTTTTAGGGTTTCTTCTTCACAACAACCCCAAGAGGGAGAAACTATTATTATTTCCATTTTACAGATGAGGAAACTGAGGCTCAGAGAGAAGAGCTCAGTTGTGCAGGTTCACTCAGCTCAGAAAAGCAAAGGGAACAGTATGTGCAAAGGCTGAGGGTTGAGAGGCTACCCAGACTTTCTGAAGCACAGATCAGATCTTGACCCTCTCTGCATTAAACCTTCTGTGGCTCCCTAGTGCCCTCCGATGAAGTTGAAACTCTTAGTTTAGCATTCATTCATTCATTCATTCATTCATTCAATACACATTCCCTGAGCACCGCTGTGCCTGGCCCTGTGCTGGGTGGTGCTGGGAACATGGCAGTCACCTTGACAGCCCCAGCTCTGCCCTTGGGGGCTCACAATCCAGTGGGGGAGGCAGACCCGTCTCAGACAGTGATGACCCAGAGTGGGCAGGGTGGGATGAGGGAGCTCAGGAGTTGGAGGAGCCCAGAGAAGACATCAGACCCAGGCTGGTGAGTTCAGGGAGTGCTTCCTGGAGGAGGGGACTTTGGAGCTGAGACAGGAAAATAGGAGGAGTGAGGCAGGGGAAGAGGGAACAGCATATGCAAAGGCCCAGCGCACCTAGAAACTTCAAGGCTGTGAAACAGCCCCTCTCCACCCCACACACATGAGGAGGAGAGAGGTCTGAGCTGGCGAGTCGGTAATAAATTCAGGGCCAGCAGAAAGGCTGGGAGATGGGAGTGGAGCCTTGGGAGGGCTTAGGCATGAGGGCCGTGGAGGCCTGAGCCCGGGCAGGAGAGACGGACAGGTTTGTTCAGAGCCTGGCTGGTCAGGGGGGGTCTCAGCTCTGCTCTGACCCGTGTGGACAGGCGTTGCCTGGGAGCTTCTCATCCTACTTCCCGGGGGGCTGCCTTTTCTCCCCTCGCCCACTCTTGTCTTTGTCTCTTTATCTCCCTCTCTCTTTGTCCTTCTCTCTTTGTCTTAGCTGTCTCCTTATCTCTCTTTCCAGCGCTGTCTCTCTCCCTCTATTTTGTTCTGATCCTCTCTCCCTCTCTCTCTTCCTCTCTCTCTCCCCCTCTCTCCCCCCCTCTCTCCCTCTCTCTATCTCTTCCTCTCTCTTTCTCTTCCTCTCTTTCTTCTTCTTCTCCGTCTTCTCTTTGTCTCTTTATCTCCCTCTCTCTTTGTCCTTCTCTGTCTTAACTGTCTCCTTATCTCTCTTTCCAGCACTCTCTCCC